GGTTTAATAGAAACTGAACAGAGCGGAAGCATAACGACAAAACCTAACACATCATGAGGTTAAATGTCGCACTTTAGTTTCTTGAATATTTTATTACTTTTGTGATTTCTCTCTTTTCCCATCCCAGTAACCAGTGTTAATTCTGCTGGTTGCCTGTGACTCCTCTTCCTCCTCGCTCCTCTGTCATTGTAGTTGCTGACTGTACCCCCATGTGCGCAGCATGCAGTGCTTGCTGCGAGGTTCTGAATGCAAAGATGCCTGTGATACAGAGCATTGTACACCTGCCCACTCCCGTCTTCACCCGAATAGAACGCCCGCTGCTCCCGTCTTCACCTGAATAGAACGCCCGCTGCCCGGTCATTATGGCGGTATTTAGGGCAAATTTCAGTGAAGATGCAGAGATAATTACCGCTCGTTCTATTCCGGCGAAACGGTAGTAGGCAGAGGGATAGCAGAGGGAATATGTTAACGACAATGACAAAAACTGTGAGAAGAGGAGAAGATTTGATAGAGGGATAGCAGATGCGCCAAGCCAATGACAAAGGATGATGGACAGACGACAACAAAGGAGGGATGAACCGCTGGGCCGCGGTAGCCGAGGGATAGCAATCGCAAAGACTGCGAGAAGAGGAGGGCCAACAATGAAAAAAACTGCAAGAAGACGAGAAGACGGCAGAGGGATAGCAAATACCCCAAGCCAATGACAAAGGACGATCGACGAACCACGACGAAGGAGGGACGAGGAGGGCCAAAGAGGAGGAAAGAGGGGGCGGGACGACAAGGGAGGCAGAAGTGGGGTCGGAGATGGATGGGGTGCTGGAAAACAAACAACTGTGCTATGGGAAAGCGTATGATACAGTGAAAAGCGAGTGGAAACACTGATAACACTGGGTGTAGAAAAAAGAATGAGAGGGCAAGAGGGGCAGATCCGGAGGAGGGGAGGAGGGGAGGAGGGGAGGAGAATGTGCGAGGAAGAAGAAGGAAGAGGGAAGGGGAGGGAAGGGAAGGGAGGGTGATGGGGACAGATAGTGAGGTGGGGGGCAAAGATGGAAGGGGTGCAGGTGCAATTGGAAACAATGAGAGAGTTGAAACGGTAAGAATCCTCGTCCTTCAGGACATCCGTTAAAATCGGAACGATACAGAGAAGGGTAAAAATTAGTAAATGACCCCTGCACAAGGATGACACGCATAAATCGAGAAAAATGGTCCATTTTCTTTTGTCAAAGAAAGCAGCGGTAAGAAGACTTGGACGGAGCAGGGAGGGGGAGGGGGAGGGGGAGGGGGAGGGGGACAGAGATTGTGTTTGAGGCAGAGATGGAGGGGTCGCAAGTGCAAGGTAAGTAAAGATTGTGCAATAGGCGAGTATGACGGAGTTGGAACGGTCTAAAGACCTCAAGCGCAAAGGGAATGAGAGAGACACAAGTGCCTGACTGAGAAACAAGCCAAGTGACTGGTTAAGGCCTGAGGCCTGATGCCCACAAAGCTCCCCATTTTGAAAACCTGCTGGCGCGGAAAGAGTCCGAAAGACAGAGAGCTCCGCTTCTCAGAGTTGCACTAAACCACAATTCTGAATCCAGAACCCCACAAGTTGCCAAAATGGGCTAAACCATTCTGGCCAAAATGGGCTAAACCATTCTGGCAACTTGTGGGCTAAACCACAATTCAGGGGGTTTGCTGCTTTCTGGAGTCGGCCAGCTCCCGTTCCCAGATTTGGCGGCGGGGTGACTGCTCACATTTTCTTTCGAAGATGGGCTACCTAGGTCAGGAGGAGGAGGAGGAGAAGAAGAAAAAAGTGCATCCATGACGACACACAAATGAGCTCACAAACCAAGCCTCATCATAATCTCACTAAATAAGGAAGAATAAACGACCTCAACGGCATGATATTTCACTTCTTTACTTTTCATCACTCAATGCTAGTGTTGCCGCTGATCATCAGCTTGGCCACTTGGATTGCCAGACACTGACGACGACGACGATGACGATGTAAGAGGAGAACACTCACAACCGGGGCAATTATGCAAACTCTCATGAATATAAAAGTCGCAATCAAAACAAAAATGCTGCTTGCACCTTGTGCACATCAATCGAACGCCTTCCGAGCTTCCTGTGTGCAAAGACAGAAAAAAAAAAACAATTTCAAGGAAACACACACACACACACACACACACACACACACACACACACACACACACACACACACACGCACACACACAGATGAAAACACATACGAAAACACACACAAGCGCTATTCGGTCAATCACTTGTCTCTGTAAAACAAAATGTCCTGTGAAAGAGTTCACAGGACTGCCCAGTTTGGCTGCGCAGGAAAAGAAAAGGGGTCAGCATTATAGAGGAGAAGGATGTTTGTCTCTGTGTTACAGGGTCCGCATGGCAGGGCTGCCCAGTCTGGACGTGAGGGGAGGGATCTGCCGGCAAATCCACGCAGGGCGTAAAAGTGCCTCAGAAGGTTGCTTTTTTTCCTTGGTGATTATGCTTTGTTTTTTTCCTTGGTGGTTATGCTGCCCCTCGGGCGTGCTTGTCGAGAACATGCAGAATCCACCTTTTTTTCTTGAGAACTTGCGAGTTGAGTTGGGAGAGGGTGTGAGGGTGAGGAAAGGGATGGTAATTGGTTCAGTAAGGGTTGAAAGGGGTGTATATTGACGTCCTTTTCGATATTGTTTTTATCCTGAAAATATTCAAAATAAGTTATTCAGAGATGACCCTCAGCCGAAAGCTGTTCGCAGCTTTGCACTGTCATTTTCCGCGACATACCTTTTCTTAAGGATTTTTTTAACATTTTCTATTTTCATCTTCTGTTCCACGCTCAGACTGCCCGGCACAATGTCTGCGCCTTGCTGGGCTGGGCGCACCCGGATGGGGACGTGGGCGGGGCCCTATGGTGCAGTGCCACCAGGATCGTGACATAGTTTCCTTTATAATTTCGGTTAGCTCTTCTACGTAAGTGTGCCCTCCACATTATGTTCTATACCACCATGCCGTCTTCCTCTTCTCCTCCATCTTCATCGCCACTCTTTCCACCATTCCCAACAGTCTGCTCAAACTCACATTATGACGATATCAATCCCCTGCTTCCACATTGTGTCATCTCGCCTTTCCCACACGTACTGCAGCACCCTGAAGCGCTGCCCCCTGTTTCTTTCACAACAGAAAATAATTCTGTCCGGGTGCCATTTTTTTCTCTCCTCGTTATCCGAAAACAATACCATGGTTACACTCTAGACTTGCAGATGGCCATCCGGACCATCTAGCGGTTCCAAGTCCAGATGATGTCCGCATGGATGATCCGGATTAAAAAAAGTCAGAAATCTGCAACCAAAAGATTTGATATGCAGCGTTCTAATAACAACAGCTTTTGGCTGAGGGTCATCTCATAATTCGTAGACAAATTAGAGTAAGACCAAGGTTGATTTCCTGGGCATCTGCGATGCCACTTGGCACCTGGACGGCGCCCAGCCGGGCAACAGGTCCGTGCGGGCCTCTGGGTGGCCTTTGCATCGTTGGAACGGACACCCCTGTAAGGGTGACACCCTTCGGTGTGCCGACAGCCGCGCATGGACATTGCCAGCTTGGCTGACCAGCCAGAAGGTGGCAAGGCTGGGTCGGGGGACGGCCTGAAGGACCTAGAAGGGCCTCTAAGCGACATGGTACAGTCATATGGTGGCTAATGCACCTGATCCCTAGGTCCAGTCCGTAGTAGCATCCAATCCGCGTCACCTCGGAGGGACATTCAAGCACAGCTTTGCGACACTACCCACAGACACCGAGAGGAAGAGAGAGAGGGCACTTTTTTCAACAGTGAGTAAGAGCACGACAAAGCGGAGGTGAGTGGAGCGTAAGAGTTTGTCGCATAGAGTCTTCCCGCGTAGAGTAGCTTTTCGCGTTTGCTAGGTCCCGCGAGGCGTCGACCCGAGTAGGGCCATAACGCCGCCCTGCAACAGGCCAATGACCAGCAAGTGCCGGGGCGGTTCTTTTACCACGGGCCCTCTTTTCAACAGGCGCGACGATCCAGGCCGCCCACAGTCCTACTGGGCTCAGATTGTCCCGCGATCTCAAGTCTTTAAGATCGTGCGACGAACCAGGCCGTCCGGTCTGACGGCCTGGATCGTCGCACGATCTTAAAAAAGTCGTAAGATCGCGCGGAAATCTGGACCTTAGGGCTGGTAGGACCATGGGCGGCCCAGATTGCCCAATTATGACGTTAGCGATTTCTGTACGTGTAGGGAAAAGAATCGAATATGATCCAAATTGTTCCTCTTCGATTGCCCTAATTAATACGCTGGCACTCAGGAGCTACCTACCCAACCTCAACATCAAACAGCATCTACAAGATTTACTTAATTCTTGGCTGCGGGTTGCCTGAAAATTCTTTCTTCCTTTGTTTTCCCAATCTGGACCATTTCTCAATTCATGCATGTCAAATCAGAAAGAGAAACTTATCACCAGAGAAAAACTTGTCACCTTTCACCAGTAACCACCTGGTGAAAGGAAAAAAAACTAGGTAAACGATTAAGCGATTAATTTTTTTCTTTTTTCTTTTTAAACGATTAAAATTAAATTAGACAAAATGTGAAACCTCAGGGAAGAAATAAGGAGAAGCGGCGGAAGAAGAAAAGATGGGCTAACGTTTTCCATTTCATTTCCTGTTGCTTACCTGATACTGGCAATGGCTGCTGGCAAGCAAAACAAGCCGCATGAAGTCCCCCTGCACCACCAACATTGGCCGAGGCTGAAGTGCTGTCGATGCCGGAGACTTCCTCAAAGGGAGGAACAGGGAACAAATGGTGATAAGACCGTGCAAGGTGGGGTGAAGAAACAAGTGTCAAGTTGCAGATGGGGCATTCCGTGGGTAGATCACAGACACGGCATTTGCAGCGAGGGCAGGAGTAACCACCTCCTAGGCGAAGTTCTCGATGGCAGGAACAAATGGCTGCCGACATCTCCGCCTGACGCTGAGGAAATCCCATGCGCACAAGATTCGCTGATGCAGTTTCTGCGAGCGCCGGGGGTGGTGGCGAATGGTCAAGGACTAAGTCGCGCAAATGCTGTTCTGTCAAAGCCACAGCATAAAGACCACCCTGCCGATCCAGAAACATGCACACATATTCACAAAACAGGATAAATCAATTCAACCATTGAATCGTTGAAAGTTCTTGAGGAATGCACACCTATTCACAAAACAGGATAAATCAATTTAAATTTTAAACAATAAAAAAAATCGCTGAAAATTATCGAAGAACATTGTTCTCATTTTCCACTGTTGGACAACCGCTGCCACAATTGCTGCAAGGGGGTTTATAGGACACACAGGTCTGGCCGCATAGATAAGTCCCTCCTTGCTGCTACCCTTCACGCTAACCCGCATTGCACTAAGCAACATCTTTCGTGATGTAGCAGTTTCCAGTAAGAAGGAGAAGAGGAGAAAGAAGAGGAGGAAGAAGAGAAATGAAAGGATTCGTGCTGCAGACATCCCGAGTCGCAGTTCCACAGTCCCAAATTGTCCCAGTCCCAGACGGTCCCCGTCCCAGGCTGTCCCGGTAGGATAGGTCCTAGGGTCCGTAGGTTGAAGCGTCCCGTAGGCGTTGGTACCGAAACGTCATAGGTTGTTGGAAGTCGGTCCGTTACCCGACAAGAAAAGTCCAGTCCAGTCCAAGTCCTGTTTTGCAGCATGTCCAGTTCTACACAATGCAGCAGGCCGACCGATACTGGTCTGGAGCAGGCCAATCCATGTCCAGTTCTATACAATGCAGTGGCTCATCATGTTGTTCAGTTGTGAGATGCGGAAGCACTGCCAAGCTGCTTGTGCGTTGGTCGACATGGGCAGAGCGCGCCTGAAGAGGAAGAGGGCGCCGGGTGTCCCAATAGCTAGGATAGTAAGATAGGAGATTGGGTGGCCATAGCCACCAACTCAGAAAGGTTACCTGAGTGGGTGTATCCAGGCTTACGATCCAGGGCTAGGAGAGAGAGGAGAGAGGAGAAAGAGGGGAAGGAGAGGGAAAGAGGGGAAAGAGGAGAGAAAGAGAGAGATGGCTGCAGGGCAAAATACTTGGGTAGGTACCTACCTGACCGAAGTTGTTGCATGTGCTGATGAGCGCTGGGCTATCTGAACTCTGAATTTGTATAATACAACAAGAGGAAGAAGAAGGAGAAGAAAAGGAGGGAGAGGAAGGAGGAGGAGGAGGAGGAGACGGAGGAGAAGAAGGAGGAGAGGAGAAGAAGACGGAGAAGGAAGAAGAAGAAGAAGAAGAAGAAGAAGAAGAAGAAGAAGAAGAAGCACTTGCAATGCACAAACTGGCCCTTGTGGTGCAACCCCACCCATTAACTCCCATTGGTTATAAGGCCAGAAAGACCACTAGGGCACCCTTTTTTTTGGTGATATTCCCTAGGGGATCACGGCTTTTCAGACAGCTGCTACGCAAAATGCCTTGTCGGACAGAGAACTAGTCCTGAGCCACCGGCACTCGATGGGGCATGTCACATTAGAGTGCCCTAGTGGTCTTTCTGGCCTGAGCTAAAGTTGACGGAAAAGAGTTTTCAAATTTCCATCCAAATACTCACTCTGTCCTGAGCTACAGTTGACGGAAAAGAGTTTTCGAGTTTCTTCGATAGATCCACCAGTCACCCCATACATCACTGAAGACCTCAGCTGCGAGACTGAACTGACATTAGCCTGAGCCAACTCCACCTCCAAGCATGTTAAGTAACACTATAGTTATTAATTACCATAATACCCGCTTGCATAACAGAACAAAGGGAAAGGTGCGACGGCAATGAAATTGATGGAATGTGTTTACTAACTTGACTTACACAACACACAAAAGCAAATGAGTTCAAGACCTCCAGAGCATGGTATGAGATGCTCAAACAAAGAAACAGTGAAGGGAACACACTGCACTCCAGAGGGTAACGAGGCAGCAGCAGCAGCAGAAGCAAAGGTGGCACCAGCAGCAGCAGCAGCAGAAGTAAGGAGGACAGCAAGGAAGAAGACAAAACAGTCGTCAACTAGAAGGATGAAAACAAATGAAGTCTTGAGAAACCAATCCAGTGCAGCGATGGGAGTTTTCAAAGGGATGAGAAGAAAGGAACACCAGGAAATGAAGAAAGAAAAGACGAGAAGTGGCCCAAAAAGCGGAAAGAAAACGAAAAATGATGGAGATAACAGAGTCTTTGAAACAAAGCTTGCGTACGTGGAGTCAGTACTATGAAACTGGTCTCCATATACCAACCATGACAGCACTCACTGATCATGATACATGGATTCAATCCCAACCTTCGGGTGCAGGTAGGCAATGAGGGGGTTGAAGAGGAAAAGCAGGTACTCACCGTCTTCTCACACAATAGCCGACATATGTACACCTCTGCTGACAGGCCAATGATAGAGCATCTAATCTTGGCCTTTTTGCACTGCTCCAGTGTTTCCATGATGTCCCCTGGATCAACTGTGCAGAGCGATGAACAGAGAAGAAGGACCTCTCGATGACCGTAGGACGGAATCACAGAAAGTGACCCCCGCGCCGCCTCTAAAGCATTCTGGATCGATGCGTCTCCGCTGCACTCCATATTGCTTCTCAAAGCCGCAATATGCGCCTGCATGAAAGAAAACATTGAAACAGTTAAAATTTTCAATTTACTGGGAGTCAGCAATTTACCAGGGTAAACCACACCAACCCACACCATGGGAAAAGCATGGGCTATTTTGACCTTCGCCCCTCGGCAACGCTAAAGAGTGAATTACATAGAAAACTACACCTTCCTTTTTGAGGCTTTTTCCTTTTTTTTTTATTTCGACCATTTCTCGATTTATGCGTGTCATCCTTGTGCAGGGGGCATGCTAATCTTCATTCTCTGTATCGTTCCAATTTTAACGGATGTCCCGAGGACACGTAGAGAACTACATCTGAGAGTGAGCAAGTCCTAAACACAGGGCAGAAATTGCAGGAAAGACCAATCTTGAAGGACCAGTACATCCGAGCCTCTTTTTGCCATGGCATGGTGGATATGCACTGCACGCCAAGCTTTGCCGAACCGCCAGTGGCTCGAACCCCCAAAATTTTAACGGCCGATAGTGATTTTCAAGTTTGTCTGGGCCAGTGCCGTCACCGTGAACGTGACCAGCACCGGTCACTTGAACGTGACCGGCCAGTCATTTGGCCCTGCGCCTGTGAACGGCCAGACCACGAAAGAGTGTTTTTTTTTTTTTTTTTTTTTTTTTTTTGGGGGGGGGGGGGGG